CCTGCCTGTCCACCTGCCAGTCCACTTGCCAGCCCACCTGCCAGTCCACCTGCCTGTCCACCTGCCAGTCCACCTGCCTGTCCACCTGCCTGTCCACCTGTCCACTCACGGCCTTCACCTTCAGTGCTCTGTGGCCGCCTCTCAGCTGTCCCCCGCCTGCCTAGCTGCCACCTACCTGCGTGTAGCTCTCGCCTGTTCCCCACCCTCTGCCTCTGTCCTCTGCTGATCATTATTGATCATCGGTGGATCCACCCAGCACTGAGGCACCCTCCGCTAGCGTTGTCATCAATTCCCTCCTCCTCTGTCACCTGCCGAGCATCATTGATCATGTATGGCTCACAGGCCCTGTAGCTACCACCTGTCCTTGTCTACCTGAGTGTTTGTTTGTCACCTGCTTTATCACCCGACCACATATCTGTCACCTCTGTCCTTGTGAATCGCTGTCATCCATCCGCCTATCAGTTATCCGCCACCGGTCTCCTATCGCCTACCTATCCTAAGCGACCGATCACTGATCTATTCAGTAGGCATCGCTGATCTGTCCTCTATCGTGGTCTGTCTGTCTATCCGTCCTCCTGTCTGCCTTCTCCCTCCCGCTTATCCATGCTGTCACCTATTGATCACCGTCTCCGTCCATGTATCACTGATCTGCTGACCGCCCCTCTGAGAAACGGCGGATGTCTGCACTGAATTTACGTATTAGGCGTCGGCTGGAGTCGGTCCAAGCACATGGGAAGCCAGGCGTGGTGGGCACACTGTGGACTCGGGAGGCTGAGGCGGGAGGATCGCCCCGAGTTCCAGGCCAGCCCGGGCTGCGCAGTGAGACCCCACCACCTCGGGAAAGGATCAAGCCCAGAGCCCCCCGGGCACCCACCTGAGCGGAAGGCGTGGCGGCCCGTGAGGAAGGCGGCCCTGCTCGGGGTGCACAGCGGGGCGGCGGCCAGGTGCTGGGTGAGCATCACGCCCTCCTCCGCCAGGCGGTCGATGTTCAGGGTCCTGAGGGAACCAGGAGAGCTTGCGGGTGGAAGGTGCTACGGGGCGAGCGGCCGGCCGGGAGGTGGTGCAGCGCTCGAGCGCGGGCTCCGAGCAGCAGAAACAAAAGCAGACGCTGAGCGGGGCCCGGAGGCGCCCGCCTGGAGGAGCCTGGAGGATCGCAAGTCCCTCGGAGCCCAGCCCGGGCAGCTTAGTGACTTGGCCAGGCCCTGTGTCCAACTAAACTCAGAAAGGAGGGCTGGGTCTGATGGAGGCTGGGGCCGAAAGCCCTGGGTTTATTCCTCAGTGCGCAAATAGAAGCAAAACAGAGAAAGGGCGCAACACGGGTGATGAACTCTACAGTGCGTGCGTGGAGACGCACAGGGCAAAGAGGCGGCTCCGGTCCCCTCCCCCCGAGGCGGGGCTCAGGTCACAGACCCTTGCGGGGTCGCTGTGCTCAGGGGAACCCAGCTCCGGGGCTTTCTCTCCCTGGCTCAGCCGCTGTTTGCACCGGATTTGCTTCCTGTGTGGCGGGGCTTCTCCGGAAACCAGAACCGAAGTTTTAATTTAAAATTTAATTTAATATAATATATAGGGGGTACGGGGCTCAGGCTGAGCTACATCCCCAGCCCTTTCTGATTATTTCTCTCTACAGACAGGATATCACTGAGTCACTCACTGGCAAAGTGGCCCAGGCTGGGCTGAGGCTTGCGATCCTCCTGGCTCAGCCTCGCAGGGTGCTGGGATGACAGGCGTGCGCCCCAGGCCCCGCTCAGAGCCAACTTCTCAGAGCAGGCTCCGGGGCCCTGCCGTGCTGTTACTGTGGAAGAACAGCCTTGCGCCAGGATCCCCTAACCAGGAGCAGCGCCCGCTCCTCCGAGGCCTCAGCCCTGGGCTCCCTGTCTCCTCACACGCGGGTCCCTCTGTGTGTGTCCCCGTCCTCCGACCTCTTCTCAGGAGGACCCAGCCCTGTGGGGTCGGGGCCACCCTGAGGACTCAGTTTACCTCCACGGCTCTTTAAGTCTCCACTCAGCTGCACCCTGAGGTTTTGGGGATCACAGAGTCAATCAAGAAACATTCGGTCTCCACATAGCCGCGGTCTGAGGTCCAGGCTGTCAGGACTTAGGAGTCCGCAGCAAGTAAATGACTGTGGAACAATCACTGAGAGCCCCTGCAGTGAGGTCTCCTAGACTGGAGTGGCCCTGACCCCAACAGCAGCGTCCTCACGAGAGGCAGAGGAGGAGGCAGAGGAGGAGACGCAGACAGAAGAGGAGCCGCGTGCAGACTTGGGAGGCGGAGACTGGAGCGACGGGGCCACAGCCCAGGGCCGCCTGGAGCCCCAGGAGGAGGCAGAGGCGGGAGGGTCTCCCCGGGAGGCTGTGCCCTGGGACGCCTCTGTCTCAGCCTCCCAGGCTGCGGGTCGGCAGAGGGCGACTCCCTGCTGCTTTGAGCCCCTTCTTAGGGTCCCGTGCTTAGGGTCGGCCAGAAACAGCGCCTTCCCACCCACCACTGCCCCACAGGGCCTGGGATTCTGGGACCTGTCTGCTGGAAAGCCATCTTCCGGTGGGGAGTCAGGAGGAAGCGCAGGGCCAGCCCCCCATTCCACCAAGTTCAGGGCGCCCTGGATGCAAATCCCCGCGGCTCCCCCTCCCCAAGGCGCCATGCACCTCAGAGTGCGGTTCCCGTAGCAGCCCAGGTCCCCGATGCCCAGGTCGTCAGCCAGGATCAGCAGAAAGCTCGGCCTCGAGGCCCCACAGCCCCGCAGGAGGAAGAGGAGGAGGAGGCCCAGGGGGAGCGGGCCCAGCGCGGGGCTTCTGTGGGGGAGACGCACGGGCATCAGGGAAGGTCTGGGGTGGGCAGGGCTGGTCTCCAGGCCGGGGGTGGTGGGCAGAAGGCTGCCCCTCATGGACAGAAGGATCCAGGTTGCCCCAAGCCGCGGGTTGGGCTGAGCTCAGCCACCAGGTCCAGTAGATGGGGCCAAACCAGACCAGACTGGAGGGACGCTGCCTGCAGATGCTGCATGAGGCAGCTCACTGTAAAACGGGCATGTCTTCCAACAACTGGAGATTCCCAGCAACTGAGCTGGGGGGGGGGGGCTGAGCTAATAACAGCGGGCCTAGGAAGGGCCCTGGTCTTTTAGCCTGCAGGGCAAGGAGACCAGATTCCTCAGATCTTTAGGAGATGCGGCCCAAACCCCAGAAGGTGCAGGCCTGAAACTTCAGACAGTTGCCATCCACTTACATAAATGCCCAGGATAAAGCATAATGTACAAACGAAGCAGGCATCCAAACACTGATCCATGTTCTCATCCATCCATCCATGCAGCTATTGATCAACACATCTACCCACCCACCCATCCATCCACCCATCCACCCATCCATCCATCCATCCATCCACCCATCCACCCATCCATCCACCCATCCATCCACCCATCCATCCACCCATCCACCCATCCACCCAAATTGATCAAATTGGATTTTCTCTTCAGTACTGGAGTTTGAACCCAGGGCCCTCATATTGAGCTACATCCCCCCACCCATCCCCCA